GAACGACGAATTTCAATGTACATTGTGACTATTTCGGCGCGTTGTTTCGGTGTAAAGCGATTCATGACTAAAATTGTAGTAAATTGACGTTTCAGAAACACATATAACCCAGTCACTCGGTTGGTAAATATCAAAGTCATTCGATGTTCCAATACCGACATAAAAGATGGCGCACCCGGTACATGTTTGTAACTGACTTTTTTCTTAGAAGATTCAAATTGCGCCAAATTTAATTCTTTATGAACTCATGGCGTTGAGTAAGAAGTGCAGGGTCAGCCGATTTGATGCCATTTCTTAATCAAGGAGATTGTTGTATCCACAACAACGAATCACCGGTAGATGAATTTTGGACCAACCGACGTGACCTGTTTGTATACTACGAACGTACTCCTACTCTTTACTCATATTTGACCTTTGCGACTACACTATTTCAGCAGTAATGGCAATTGCAGGTAGTTATACATCATCTCAGAAAATCTCGTCTTACTTCTTACACCTTGCACCTTATTTGGTAGTTTGAGACCTTAGCGTCGTCGACAGTCAGGTGACAGAAAAGCTTTTGCTTGCGCTTTCACATTGCTTGCACTGCTATATCAAAAGGAAATGAAAAATTCCGTTAGGAGAATGCCACTGTTTTGGAATAGATCTTGTAACTTCTATACCCTTGAAATAGCATTCTGGAATATTACAATCCCTATATTTATAGAACCAAGATACTGATGTAAAGCGACAGATAAACTGATTACGGCTGAATCACCCTAACTTGGAATATAATTATCCTTCAAATTAGGAGATAATCGGATTCAACCCTTAGAAGGATTGTGCTTTCAACCTGAATTTGTGTTGTTTATTTTGCTATCGAAATATAACTATTAAAATATGGGGTCAAAAAGATTAACTATGTACCTTCCTCATAGCATAAACATTCTACTTTTTTATTAATATTCTATATATTTCGTTTTTGGTCATAGATTGCTGTTTTCGCGAAATCACGTAACTTGGACTATTGCCAACGTCGTACAATGCAAGAAAATTAAAACAGAAATCATATAAGTTACGTATGCGACATATAAAATCTCGAGATCAATAGCCCGTATTGATAAAAATGAAGCATTTACTTTGAAGTAAAAGGTACAAGCAAAAGGTAGAAGTAAACGGTTTTGCTCTAATTCGTATTCATAATCTCTACCTCTTCCTTGCAAGCAAATGCTTCGGGAAAATAAAGTAAAAGGTACGGAGATTAGCGATTTCGACAAGATATGACTTTTGCAGCGTGCAATCAACGCGTATGTGGTCTGTAACTGATGGGGTTGATCTTTTTGTCTCATAATTAAAAGCAGTTCGCACGTCAATTGATGTAAAGAAGATCCATCTAACTTATTTGTGCAGCTATTTTAAAGTGAATAAAATATTTAAAATGTCTGACACCGATAGTGAACAGGAAGATGCCCCTAACGAGATGTTTATCGCTGAAAAAGTCGGAGATTCTCGAGAAATCTCAAGTTTCAGCGATGAAAAAGAAGAAAACTGCTGCATTAACTGATATCGTTAAGGAATAGGTTACTTTATTTGGCAAGGAGATGGATATTACAACTTTTATGAATAAAGTGATCAATATGAAAACGCGACTGAAAAATAAAACTGACGAAAATAAAACAGGGAAGAAGCCCATTTTGTCCTGGCAGAAAGTTATGTTAAAGGCTATGGATGCGGACATAAATCCTGTACTAAGTCGGATACCAGGTGAGAAATAGATTCAGGTCTTTACTATTACCTTATAGGTACTTATCATGCATGTATATTTTTATTAGGGGCTCTTGCAATTGGCGTGGCAAGTCAACCTTCTTTACCTACTTCAAAGGATGACATTATGGTGGAAAACGACGCTCATCAGATGATTATGCCTCAAGTAGTAGCTAACAAAAAGCGATCCTACACATCGGTTGAAGAGGTTGCTGCAAAAAAAATCCTCCGAAGCCTACCTTTGCTTCGGGCAAACAAGAGTCTGACGAGACGAGGCAGTTAACGACAACCCAGCTTCAACGATTAGTTTTAGTTGAACAACTGAAAGTTGCTCGTCTCCAACAACAATATTACTCTGCCAAGCTAAAAAATTTAAACAACAAGGCGTCAAACGAAAAAGCCCCGCAAGAGTATGTTGTTGTTGGAGATAATATTTACCAAAACTTGTAAATAGACGTATATGTAATATGTATCATTTATAAAAAAAACTAATTAAAACGTTTTTTTCCAGTTCAAACGTGTTAGTTTATTTTTAGTTTAAGTAAATACGTCTTTGTACGTTTGAAGTAAACGACATATACATAGATAGCATTCCATGAAAGTTTCGATCCTAATTATACACCTATATTGTTATTGGTAATAAGACGAGCTAATTCCTCGCCGCCTTTGTTCTTGTGCGCGAATAGCATCTACATTTTCATTCTCTAGAAATGGCAAGTCCTGTTCTTCATCTTCGTCATTTTCTTGAAAATCTTCATCTCTTAATTGCTTAGCTATATTGTGCAACACAGCACACGCAATTATAACTTTTGGAATACTGGTCAGTTTTACTCTGCATCCATACTTCAGGATAGGAAATCGCCGCTTTACTTGCCCAAATGTATGCTCAATCACAACTCGCTCTGATGTAAGCAGCCTGTTAAAGACTGTCTGATATTCCTCGTGGGGGTCGGTGTAGGGTGTCATAAGACATGACATTATACCATACCCACTGTCCCCTAGAAGAATAGTGTTTCTTGTCTTTTTCATGACGTCACACACTGCCGAATTTTTCCATATACGAGCATCATGGACTGATCCAGGCCAACTTGCATCTATACTAGTTATAATAGAATTCTGATCGCATATAACCTGTACATTAATAGTGGCAAAACCTTTTCGATTTACATATTCGTCTCCAAATTGGGCTGGTTTTCCATCAAGACGAATATGCGTGCAGTCGATAAGTCCAATAGCTGTGGGAAAACGGAACCTGGTCAACCATTTCTCTTTGGCCTGCATAATTTGATTTTCTGGATTTGGGAACCCGATAAATCCTCCAGCTTGTTGTACAAGTCGCTCCAGCACATCATGAAATATTCTGGACACTGTGGGCTGCGAACATCCCAATTCTTCAGCTAGACCGCTCTGAAATCCAGGGTTCGCACAATACCGCAGAAATATTTTCATTTTCTGCATAGGTGACTGGGCTGCTCCACGAGTTTCGAAATACATGCCAAGAAAGTAATTTGCCAACCACACCACATTTTCATCCTCAAATCTAAACAATGTCTTGAAATCTGACTCACGAGGTGTACGTCTTGGTTTGTAGTATTTTCTTGTACGTAAATGCACCACATTAGCCATAACTAACACAATACTGCGACTAATCAACCAAAGATCACTTAAACAAGCCCTTACAAATAGATTTTATTAAACGAAAATGCACAAATTTTAAGATACAGGCTCTAAGATGAAGGGACAACTAATGATAAAATGAGAAAAGTTGCTGTAACCTAGATTCCTTTTTTTAGAAGCAAATCCTTTAGTTTTTAAGCAAATGCTTCTTTTTATAAATAAGAAAACGTTAACACCTTTTACTTTACAGAAGCGAGACCTTTTCCTTCACTTCTTTTTATGCATATACTTTGAAGGAATTGCTTTATTTATTGAAAGCAAAAGGTTAAACTTTTTTTTATAAATATGGACTATTATAACAACATATTAAGTATTTTTTATTTAGGGGAAGATCCTGATTCATAACAGATGTACCGGGTGATTTAAATTCGATCCTCAGTATTGGGATCTCGAAAACGTTAAGATATACGAAGTATTTCCGGAGAGACGAAAAAAAAAGAATTTTCCCAAAATCGTTCTAATTTTTCGCTGACTTTATTTGTAATGGGATTCCAAAATGAATTGCTTATTAACGTTACCAATTTTACTCCTTTACAAAATGGTAGATTTAGAATTCAAATATGACGTTTCGTGTCTTGTCCTCCAGCATCAACTTTATTTCTTCATAAGGATGCCATATTGGATTTTTGAACGGGTGTGAGTTTTCAATCCTGATTCCAAAAATACATCATATAACATTATTAATGATGGACATGGCCAACACTTAGTTATCTCAAAAAAATATAATTCCCTAGGTAGGTCTTGAAATTATCAAATAGTCATTTGTTATACGGGATTTATTGAAAAATCGTTGTTGATTTCCGGGTTTTATTTGAAATGGGATTTTAAAATGAATTGCATGTCAGCATTGCCACTCTTTGTCCTCTTCAAGATTGCATAGTCCGTTTCTCAATTATACGTTTTTTGCTTTTGATCTCCATCCTCAACATTGTCTTTTCTTATGGACTCCCTAACGAAATTCTGCGCAATCGAGCGCAATTTTTAATGACTTATGAATATAATATATTCATTTATGTAACTATAAACTTCACAAATATTCTTAGTAGTATTTAAACATACAAAATTCCAGTATAGCATCCATGTGAAAAAACAAAGTTGGTGATGGAAGTCGAAGAAGAAGAATTGAAAATTTGAATACGCCAACTTGTAGAGAAGAATAAGTGGCAATGACGACATGCAATTTATTTCGAAATCGCATCTGAAATAGTCAGGAAAAAATAAAAAAGATAATCTGGTGTACCATACAAATGATTGTCTGATAGTTTCAAGGCTTACCTACGAAATTCTGTATTTTTAAATAACTAAGGCTTGGCAATGTGAATGTTTGACACGTTTTACATTTTTGAAATCAGAATTAAAAACCCATCTAGAAAGGTTCGGACAAAGATTTAAAATATTTGTGACCTAGCGCGTGCGAACCGGAACCCACAACATGGCACCGGCACGGAACAGGCACTAAAAAGTTCAGTGGCGCTGCCAAGAATAATAAATCCATTAACGAGGAAGATTACCAATACTAGTGTCGCGATAAAACGACTCAACTAAAACTCTAGGGTGATGTACCTGTATAATCTACTTACCTTCTACTTCCCTAGTAGGGGTGATAGTTGCTAATTTCACTTTGAGTACGTGCGTTCTGAACAGCTCTGCCAGTTTACGTAAAATGTGGTTCTTCCAACCGCCCCCAGTCTCGATATCCATGTCTTCCAATCCCCTTCCTACTTTTAGCAAAGACCTGTAACAAAACAAGACCAATTATTTCAGTGTCTTGTCTTAAAGCCTGGAGAACAGTATGTAAACAGGCCAGGGTTAGTTACCTTCGCCTGAAAGTTTGAGGGTGAAGTTCTGAGTGAATTGTTAAAGGAAGCGCACATTGTCTATTACAGTAATGCATATATGTAACTTCTGAAACTATAATTCTGTGACCGACTTCATAATTCATAATGATTGTATAGTGTGTGCGAACGAAAATAAAAAGTTATGTGATAGGTATTCATGAGGGAATTATAAATTGGACTCGCAGATCTTTGCCAATAACCCGTAATGCGATGATGCTCTCAAAGTTAACACTATTTAGGTCATCGATCAAAATGAGCCATACTCATTGCATATTGAGCCTTCAGACAAACACACAGCTCTTTTGTTCCATCTGGCCGGTCCGTGCATATAGGAAAGTCCTTTATCCTTTTATTCTTTCGAAGGAAATCTTTATTACAGTTTTAAGCCATGCGGCATTGAAAACCGCAAAAATAGGTCCTTCTTGTTCAGCTTCAGGTTTTTGACGATATTCAAGATGTCTTTGACTAGTTTGATGCCTGCACCGGGTTTAGTAGGTACGTTGGTGGCCTATCTTTTCGATCGAATCAAGCTAGTGGATTTATTTTTTATGGATCGCAGTAAATCCGCTGTGAGCTTCTCTTTACCATTATGTTGATATTCGATTTCTTTTTACAAACAATAGTACAGTCCCATTATGATTCAATGTAGATGTAAAGCTAGAATTCCGGAATTTAGCTCTAGCTTACAATCAGACTTCAGATACTTGGGTAGCGTTGTGCATGAAAGACCTAAGATTACAGACTATAAGTTGATTGATACCTAGACTTAATTTTTAAAAGGTAGTGCCATGCTTGCTTTCTGCAAAAACAGTGTGAGAAAGCGAGGCATAATAGTGAAGCGCCAACATGGCGAAGCTAAATACATATGCATTTAGAAAAAAATTATGACCATCCTGGTAATTTTGACAATACATATTCCATATTTCATTGAATCAGTATTTCCCGAATTGTGGGTCGCCATGAGGTTCTAGGTGGGCGTCAGAAATTTCCAAAATAAAACAAAAACGCCACTATGTTAAATCTTGTATTTTTAACACCGTAAATAAGAATTAATAAACGCAACTTAAAACTAAATATTAATAAAACTAGCGAGACAGATCGCAAATATACAAATTTTTTGAGCTTGAATTGTATTTAGTCCAAACTACTAGAGTTGGTGAGATGGATGAACTACACAATCATAGAATAAAAGTGACCAACTACAAATTTTTAGTTTCAAATTCAATAAATCCCACGTCTAAATATTTCTGAATTTTTTTTCAAATAATACAATTATTAATGAAAGTCCATAAATTTCAGTACAATGAAAAGAAACAATATAGCGAAGGTTTAACCACTCCTATTGCAGAGAAAATAATGGAACTAGCGGAGGCCATTTACATCTTATATCGCTAAGGCTGTAAATAATATACTATAGGTCGTTGTACCGTTTCTCCATAGGTGGTGCTCACAGCAAGTACGCGTGGCGTGGACTAGCGACTAGCTAGTACATAAGTTGACATTATAGCTATTTTTAATGACATTATATCGATTTTTTACCTAATATCCCGCCTTAAGAAACACAAAATCTCGAAGTCATCCATCAGTCTCATCTCAGACGAAGTGATCAAACCTTTAATAATATCAAGAGCGTAAGAACGTATTATTTTGCCGAAAATTGATGCATTTACAAAGTTAGATGGAAAAGCCAAAACAGACAACAAATGCTGCCCTTGTTTTCAAGAATCCTTGATCGTGAAATGTCCGTCGAGATTGAGGGATTTTTTTCTTCAGTCGCAGCAGCTGATAGGAGTTATCATGCTAGATTTTATTATTTTGCATTTTTGGACGAAGTAGTCGCTATAATATTACATTTATGTTTGCACCCTTAAAAGGTCTTAAGAGGACATGTGGGTAAACAGCAGAGTATTTACAGAATTCTTCATATTCCAAAGCCAACTGAGCTAAATAATGAGGTACAATTTAAGTGTCTTTCATACATCAGGCTATACTTGCAGTTATAAAAAGTGTAAAAATAAATGTCCAAGTAAATCATCTCAAAAAGGTATTATATTGTTTGTTACATTATTTTACATAACTATTCATAGCTTGAATGTTTTTTTTATCCAGTAGTACTTGAAAATTTTAACTTATTCCTATTTTCCTGTATATCTCCATAACAAATAAACATATTGTTCTGCAATTTGGTAATTTTATAGGATTATTGTTCACATGTTTGGCATACTGTTGTTTTGACTGCGATGGTTATATTTGATACCGGTGACATTTCCTTACTCCAAGTTTCTATCATATCGATGGACTATCCGTGATCTGGTTTTCTCGCATTGACATGTCAACGTACTTCAATCCTGTCGGTACTCACTGTCTTGGCATAAAAAATACTCTTATGGCAGTCTTATATTTGTATGAGCGTGCAAGAATTTTGAGGCTAATTCGACTGGTGTAGATGCTATTTATTACTGTACCTACGTAAAACCGCTTACATCGACTTTTGCGATCGACTTCCAGCAGATACTTAGTTATCTACTCCGTATAATGGAGCGTACCCTTGTCCGGCAATAAAAGGAGATTTTATGACGGCGAATGACGTGTTTGTATACTCCGAGTGTACCCACCAGAGTTTATTCCACTTAATAGAGTTTTAGTGTATCGGGAAGTTATACTGACTGTAGTACGTGGATAAAATCCTGTGGTATTAAAAGAATGAGCTTTTTGAGTGTTTGTCTTTCCATATTGTAACCTAACGTTGGTGATACGAGAATGGGTTTTATACCTATGGACGAGTCTTTCACGTGCTTCCAAAGTCTGTCAGCACTGCATTATGGTGAAAACTAAGTTACTACTATTCCCTATGCTGAAACACCATATCGGTGAAAGCATAAGGTATAACCTGACCCACAAGCAATACTCACGATGCGGATGCAGTGGCAAAATGACAATAAAACGGCAGTTGCGCTATTCCTCCACATGTAGGCTAAACAAGCTATTGCGCAAACCACGATTTTATAAATTGCTACATAGAGCTACATTTCGGCCGAATAAGGAGCATAACTAACTACGAAGTGACTTTAGCCTCCGTCGTAGACTATTTTTTATACCGCAGCAGCCGCGAACACGGAAGCCTAACTACCAGGGCACCGCGACTGTCATGAGGAGCTTGAAGAAACCTTGTTAAACCTATTTTTGAACTGCCTAAGGTGAGTACAACTAGGAAAAGCCTCCTCAGGTAGATTGCTCCACAATCTCGATACCCTATGGACAAATGAGCGGTCATATCGGCGAGTTCTGACTGTCCGAAGTTCGACATGGTAAAAATGGCAAGCTGGAAGGCACATCATAGAGGAGAGCTCTGAGGAGCAAAGACCGTTGGCGCAGCGGTAGAAGGGAGCTTTTTTTTTTCGAGACCGTCGCCAGACCGCAACTTGGAGCGAGTGGGTCCTATGAACCGCCCCCTTCCCGGAACTATCTTGATGGACATATCTTCAAGTTGGGGCCTGTCTTTTCTTCTTTGTTGTACATGGGGATTAGGAGTTCAGGCTCTCTGCGGTGCTCAGCTTCTTGCTGCTATTTTGCTTTCGAGGACGGTGTGAGCAAAAGTAACCGAGGCATTCCAGTTTGCTTGGGAGATGATCGTCAGCTAGACGATGCTGACCGGTTCTGGCAGTTGTTACGATCTGTATTCCATATCTCACATTCAAAAAACGTGTGGAATGCGTCATCCGGAAAGCCACAGTGCAGACATCCGGGGTCTTCTGTCAAATGAAAACGATGTAAATAGGCCTCAAATCATCCGTGGTCCGAGAGAAACTGCGTGAGATAGAAGTCGACCTCCCCCCACTCTCTGGTCACCCACTGCTCTACGTTCCTGATGAGACGGCACGTCCAGCGACCCTTCTTAGCTGTGTCCCAAGTTTCTTGACATCGTTGGAGTAGCAGTTCCCGAGCATCTGCTCTTGTCATTCCGTCTACCCTATCCGATCGTTCTAATATGTGCAGCGCTATGGGTGGAAAATTGGCAATTACTGCGATGGCTACAGTGGAGACTGTGCGATATGCGCTACATACTCGTAATTCCATTTTCTTTCCAACTGCTTCAGGTGTTTCTGCCGTAGCTTGGCACGATTGAGTGCTGTGCGCCATATTGGTGCTGCATAGAGGACGGCTGATAGCTCCGCCGTACGTAGAACCTTCCTTTTGCTGGTGCTAGGACCCCTACAGTTTGGCATGAGTCTTTCCAACGCCATCTCGGTTTTGGACGCCTTTATACGCTTTTGTCTAGATGGTCTGCAAAAGTGAGCTTGGTATCAAGCCAGACTTTGAGGTAATTCAACGATTTGAGCGATCTTACCACAACATCCTGCATCTTAAAGATTAAAGCAGATATCTTGGGTGTCAGCATAACTGCCTCCGTTTTCCCCGGTACGATTTCCAACGCGTGGTCTGCCAGTCAGTCAATTATCTCTTCGATAGCGCAGTTTGCTTTGCTCATCAGTTTCTCTTCGGTCCTTGCCAAATCGTCCGCATAGGCTATTGTAGAAATCCCATGTGGCATTTGTAACCGCAGAACTCCATCGTACCGCAGATTCCATAGGGTAGGTCCCAAAATTGATCACTGAGGAACGCCGCTGTATACTGGTTTCTAGCAATACTCGTACTATCGCCCGTATCACGAAGAAAGGAGCTAGACCAGCCGAAAAAAGGCTCTTTGGTGGAATTCGGCCATCCATCGGAACCGGATGAGCGCTAGGGCGCATCTTGATAATCAATGTATAGTACTGTGTTTTGGAAGCCTTAAACTGTACCAGATTGTTGCGTCCTGAAGCAGTAATCGCCTCCAGGCTTCTCGTCAGAGAGGAAGTTGCTGCTAGTCGTCTTTTCCTGTTTCATGTTTTGTAAT